TGCAGGAGAAATTCGGGATATTGAAGGTGGCTGGAATCGTTGCACCTTAGTCCTTCTACCTGCCCTCTCGAAGAGTCCTGGTCACTTGCTTGGTGATATTCGCAGAGTAAAACGCTGACTCTATGCGACGGAAGTACCATGCTGATGCATTCGACCAATAATCTGGGAGCGCCAGCGCGATGGTGCAGAGTGAGTCTCCGTTCAGCATAGTTGTGACAGGGACGTGTCAGAAAATGTGCGCTGCGGATGTTGCTGCATGTGATTGGCTGCGAGAAACGGTTGTACGCCAACTTAAACAGAAGGTGACAAATGCAAGTTACAGAAATGCATAATGGCAAGAGTTAATCTAGAAAGTTGCGTGCAAATATAAAAAAGGACAAAGTTGTTAATGCATACCAGTTTGGCATAGGGCTATCACAATGCCGTGCCCAGTTCCCCATGTCACTCAACGACATATGTCGTTATAGAGAAGAGGAAGACGCCAACTCCGGAACGGTAGATTTATTCTGAGCTTTCGGCTCCACACGAGAAGCCATCGTCAGAGAAAGTGAGAAAATAGCAAGCGTTTGCTACGCGTAAATGGGGTTCGTAGGGAGGTGGCAAATTGTAATTGGTTCATGTCCACGCCACGTCCATCCTCACGCTCTCTTATCGTGTCTCCTATTCGCGTCCCTGGAGTAATGGCGTGTGACCTTGACGTGGCTGCCTGCATGTCGTTATTGCCATAGGTCAGTCTGCACCATCGACACCGTCAGTTCGTACTGCGGACCTGACTCCACAGTGTCTACTCATTGACGGTGCCACTACTACCACATTTCCGTTAGTACACTCAATACCGTCAGCGACCACTGCCGTTTTGCCTTCAAAATGTGTACACAGGCACATCTCATAACAGCCATATGTAGCAAACACAGCATTCAGTAAGATGACAGTTGAGATGGAAAGTCTATAGGGCACTCAATATCTAAGTAATAAATAAATGAATATAATTTATATTTTAGGCCCGGAGGGCCTCGTCATTGCAAACTTAGTGCTGTGGAGAAATATAAATACAAATTTGATAAATGCTGCTGTTTGTGAGCAACCATATAGGCAGCGGGAGTATTTAGTATGGTAGGCAGATAAATTCATATCCGCCAATATATCGTCAAAAATAATAATAATAACAATAATCAACTCTCTCTGAAATGCATCGTGAAGTAAGGAAGAAGCAGTGAAAAAAACTCCTACCATTAAAACGGGGGCAGAGTTCAGCGGACCCCCGCTTACAGTGAAAAAAAACTCCTACCATTAAAGCGGGGGCAGAGTTCAGCGGACCCCCGCTTAATAGAAAACAAAAAGTAGGAGAAAAAAACTGCTTCTCCAAAATTAAGGAGAGTGGTTGATAGGATTGATTGTAGTGCAATGAGACAGGACTGTTGATGAGAACGTATGAATTCTTGTCGTTGGAGAAATCATACAGCAGCGGAAGCTGCCGTTCACCACTGTAAAAAAGCCCGACTGGCTTCAGGATCAACCATCAGGTAGGTGAGACCGAAGGAGACCATTGCGGACAACAGGGTCGAAAAGATGAGGAACAGTAGAGGTCACGTGATCGTCACCGAAACGCCGGAGATGCGACCTTGTAGACCACAGAGTCCAGCGACGAAATGGCAAAAAAGCAGAACCGCCATGACCATGACGAGACCGTCAACCCTATGGTCAGGGTTGTAAAACGGAGAACGGAAAATGGCAATAATAATTGGACAGAGTAGGGGAAGACACACCGCTGCAAATATCACTCTATAGAAAATTAAATATACAGGGTGTCCCAAAAAATGTATACACATTTTACATAATTGTAAACTTGATGTAAATTATAATTTTATTATTTAAAAAATGAAAGAAATATTTAAAAGTATCATTTTATTGTTTTTTTCATTGTGTATGGAATGAAGAGTAAAGGACCCAAGACAGTGCCTTGAAAAACGCCACTCGTGATCGTGGAGTAACTGTTACCTAGTAAGACCTTTTGGCTGCGGTTAGACAAGTAGGGAACAAAGAAGTCGAGGAGAGGAGGACGGATGCTAGTGGCTTCCAATTTTACCAGAAGCCGTCTCTGCGGTACCTTGTCGAAGGCTTTGCTCAGGTCAAAGTAGATAACAACCATGATTGGCGCTCGTTACGGAGGGAAGTGACATGATTAAGATAAGCTAAATGACATGTCTCGCATGACCGCCCCGGTAGAAAACCATGCTGCGATTTGCTTAAAAGTTTGTTTTCTAGGCAAAAATCGAGAATTTGATTAAAACTGATCTTTTCCAGAAGTTTGGCTAGGG